ATATTGTCTTCCTTCATCCTCAATCATTGCTCACTTCCAAGAAGGCTGAGCCTGCACACACCAGGCCCTGAGCCACTGCAGCAGAGAGCAACTCCCACAAGCACACCCTCTAGCCCAGCCTAGCAGAGGCAGAGTTCAGCCCCACAGCAATCCGTCTGGTCAGACTGGTGGGCAGTTGCTGAGGAGATCCTGGTGGACGGGTGGAGACAGACAGAGGGCTACAGGGAGTAGAGAGTGTGAGAGCCAACCAAACACAAAGAAGCAAACATGCACATGAGGGAAGGCTGGGAGACAGCAGACAGCCCGGCACGGCAGCTCATGTGCTAGTCCAACCCTCGTGGCAACCCCAGTGGAACAGTCCAAGCCAGCACAAGTCAGCCAAATCCTGAGCTCATTTAATGGCTTCTGTCCCAAACCTGAGTCACTGGGGATTCCATGGACTTCTAAGAGAGCCCTACATGCATTTCTAAAAACAAACTGCTTGATGCTGTCATGGAAAACCTGGATCTTTGCATTCTACGGTTTCACCACGGATTACATCCAGGTCACAACCTAAGGAAGACAGCTGGCGAAAACGGCCCTGCTGGCCAATTACCCAGCCTTTGTAATGAATCCCAGAGGGCTGTGAGCTGATGTGTGTGTCTGGCTCTGCCAAGTCCTGGACAAGCCCTCACCTAGTGAAGATCGAGCAGCCTGGGATTTATTCTGCGAGGGGAGGCTGAGAACCCACCTGCAGTCAGGACTCCACTGCCAGAAGCTGTCTCCACAAATGAGAGGAATGGAGAAAGTGTCAGGGGAAGAGGAGCAAGAGAAGAAGTTCTTTGTTTTCCTGTCAATTCTACTGCTACCTTCTGTTTTAAAAAAAAGAAAAAATGCCTCAAGGACACCGTAGGCACAGCAAAGCCCAGGACTGCCCTACACTCTTCAGCCTCAACACAGCAGGCTACTGGGGGGCCGGGGGACAGCCCCATATGGTGCGGTCATGTCGGATTCCACCAGAACAAGATCAACTCTAAAGACTATAAAAGGCACCTCTATTCCTTAGAAAGCAGCAATTCTAAGAAACAAAAAAAAATACTAAAACCTGTCAAGAAAGTAGAAATACTTTAATAATCATATAGATGTCCCTTATTATTTACCATGGGCCAGGCACTGCGCCTAAGCCTTTCTCATCTGTTATCAAATTTAAGTCACAAAACAACCCTGAGGTACGTGCTCCTGTTACACCCATTCTACAAGTGAGAAAACAGGCTTAGAGACGTGAGGTCCATCAGTGGACATTTCACTCTAAAGTGCGGTCAGGACTGACCCAGGCCAGGCGAGGCTGGACTCTAACTGCAGCTGAGAGTGAGTGGAGAACACCAAGGGCGTCTGTGCACAAGTATTTAGAAGTGTCAGCTGGGTGCCCACCATTAGGCTAGGCCTTGATGGCAAATCCTGCTCTCTGGGTTACCTTAATAGTCAACAGTGGGACTTTATTATTATTTTTTAAGTAACCCAGATTTTGAGATTTCCACTGAGGTAGCAGATTCTTTCACACCTAATTCTAAAATCAAAATATCAAGATTTTGATAATTTATGTTATACTTTTTATAGACAACGAAGGCTATACAAGCCTGTGGCCCAGTTATTCTTTAAAATTAGGTCTGGTAGAGGAATATGCTTACAATATCTTGTAATTTTTTCATCCAGCTACATTGTACTAAAATGTCATTTTTGCCAAAATAAAAGTTGTAAGAATAAACACAGTCTGAGGGTATTTCCAAAGAATCTTTGTGTCGCTCTGGCAATAGCCTCCTCACTCACCATTTGTTTCAATACCGAATAGACCCGGGGCTGAGAGGAAGGAGCACGGGGAGAGAAAGACTGATGCTCACAGCGGCAGCAAGCCCTTGGCTGAGGCTGGGGCTGCCCAGATGCGGGGAGATTGGCCGGGAGGAGAGAAAGCAAGGCAGCTGCTTCAGACACAGGTGGGGCAACTTTCTCAGCCATAGATTCAAGGACCATGGCTGCCATTTATGCTGGCTTGAGCTGCCTGGTGGAGACCACCATTAGGGGAGAAAGAGCCCACCGAGCATCCTTTAGAGACGTGCCCCCCCCTCCAAAAAAGGAGGAGTCGGCTGACTAGTGCTTGGTCCACCTTTCCCCTGACTTCTTCTCAGAGAGGTGCCACTAGGCTGGAAGGAGCAAAGAAACCACTTCCTTCCGGTATTTCAGGCCTTAGCCTTAGGTCAGTGGCCCCTAGAGAGGCGTCTGACTATGAAGGAATCTCTGCCTCCTGCCAATGTAAAATTTTGAGTAACTTCAGACTCTTGGAGATGCTATATGTATGCAAAACTTTTGAAAGAGACAGGTGACTAACAGACTAGCACCTGGTTTCTGCCAGTACTTCCCTCTCCTCTCCCTTCTTCCCAGAGGCCTGATGCAGAGAGAGAGAGAAGTCGGAATAACTCACTGGCACGTATGAATAATACTTAAGATATGTACTAACCTTTGTGCCAAAACGAACACTCTTGCCATTTATGTGAAATAGCGCACAAGAGCACTAAAGATTTGTTGGACTAATCCACATTCTTAGAGCCTGAATTCACTGGACTAACACCTTATTAAAAACTGCATGTAAACAGTCTTTAAGACTGAGGATATCTACAAGTTGCTTCTGAATGACTGTAAAAGACAGGTTGTGGTGTTATGGCCCAAGATGTCCCGCCCCTTACTGTAGTGTAATGGCCACTGATTTGCTGGAAGGCACTAAGTTTCTCTGGAGGAAAAGCATTCCTAGGGATGACAAAGCAGGAGTCTCACCTGCAAACCAGCGTATTGATAAAGCTCATAATAAAAGCACGAAGCCATTGAGGATGAGCAAATACAGCACAGTACGGGGAAATAACGCAGGAACCAGGAACCTGCCTCTCCAGTCAACCAGGGCTCTTCAACTGGATTAATAAATTGTGTGGCTGGCTTCCCTTTATCTACATATTTACTTTGACTTTTCAAAAGCTTTTGGTAACACTTCTTAGCAAGAGTTTTAAGACACACACAGCATATCAGCACATACCCTGAGGCATTCTGTATGTGAAGAGAATAAAGTAGGGCATCTCTCTGACGAGATAAAGACCATCAGTACTGAGACCCATCATCTCATGTAACATTTCTGGGAGGTGAAATCCCCAGCTGAAGGGGATAAACTTCAGATTTCGGAAGTGAATCAAAAGGAGACAATGAGCTTCACAGAATCAAAAATCTAAGAACAAAAAATCTAACATAAGGTCATATTTTCCAGTCTCCCTATTTTTCAGAAGAGGATGCCAAGGTGCTGCAAGGTGGTGCATTTATCTCAGATGAAACTGCTGGTTAGTAGCAAACCCGAAAATTCGACCCCAGCCTCCCACATCCCGTGAGTGCCGGTGAGCACCTGGTCACTCAGGGTCTGTCTGATCCTGGCCGGTAAAGAGATGAGGGTCCTGAGATCTCTTGTGAGTGCATCCCCCGTGCACACAGATCAGGACTATGGGGCGGGCGCTCTCATTTCTCTGGGCCCTTAACCCGTGCCCCCACACACACGACCGGGGGCGGGGGGGGGGGTGCTAAGATTTGAGGAACAGAAAACACTATCTTATCAGCTGTTTAGAAAAAACCTGTTGTTTGACCTGTTTATTTAGGAGTCAGCCCTGCTGAGCTCAAGAGTTTGCTATAAGGCAGACTCGAGTTCATCATTTAGAGGCCTGGACAGCAGGCTCAGCGCTTATCTTCCCTGTTGAGGAGTCCCACACGCACAGCTTTAGGGTTTGCTAAGGGATGTCACCTGTGCCCTGGAGTTAGGGTTTTCAGTGAGTTCCTGTTTCTCCTGTTAGAGTTCAGATTAATAAAGACCTTGGTTATGACTGCTTAAAAAGTGATTTTTTTTCCCTGAAAATCAAAGCCAGAGTCTATTCCTCTGTTTCCTTGAGGATGTGTGTGTGTGTTTCTGCTGCCCAGAACAAGTCCCTTAAGCCTAGAAAAACCGACACTCTCTTGGTTCAGGACCCACCCAAGCCCACGTGGGAGAGTCTATGAAGGGGAAGTTTCCTGGCAGCTCCCAGCCTCTCCTCTGGCTCACATTCACGAAAGTGTGAGTAAAGAGCTCACACTTTTCTTTCCACCAATTTCTAACAAGCTTATTAGCGAGAAATTCCCAGAAAGTGGAAGAGTTAGTTTGTCTTTTCTGATCTGAGTGCACAGAACATTCTGTCAGGCTCCAGGAGACAGACAATTTAAACCAGAACGGTACGGGCCGGCCCTGTGGCTTGGTCGTTAAGTGCCCGCGCTGCGATGCTGCCAGCCCGGGTTCGGATCCCGGGTGCGCATTGAGGCACCACTTCTCTGTCCATCCTGGGGCCGAGTCCCACATACAGCAACTAGAAGGGTGTGCAGCTATGACATACAACTATCTACTGTGGCTTTGGGGGCAAAAAATAAAATAAATAAAAATCTTTAAACCAGAACGGTATTAAACACAGAGCAGCTGTTACTAACTCCTCCTGCACCCGCCTCTTCCCCTCCCAAAGCTGCGATCACCCTGCGCGGCGAGGGGGCGGCAGGACCCGGCTCTCCGCCTCGGAATGAGCCCCCTCACACTCCTTCGCGGGGTGCTTGCTGCAGCTGGGCCCCCTCACACCGAGACTCCTCAGTGGGGGCACTGACGTGGACAGCACGCTTTTAATTTAATGGGAAAAGCAAAAAGGAGGAGTAGTTACTCAAACAAAACCCAACAACCTGGAACCGGAGGAAATAAGCCGTGGAGAGGAACGTGTGAGACAGGGGCAGACACTTCTTCCTTTAGGGCTGAGGGTAACAGGGCGCAGGGAGCCCCAGGGCAGCTCGCTCGTGTCGCCGGGAGCAGTGCCGTGCAAAGGAAACCCGACGGCACAGGGGACGGTATTCTCCAAAAGGGGCAGTAAACGGGCCAATGAGTGAGCGAGCGCACACGCGGGGACCCCATCCCTCTCCCCGACACTTACCTGCAATTCCTTGCAACAGCCCGCAGACGTTGAAAATACTTTTCTTCATGATGCTCTGCACACACATGGTGAAGACGGACACCAGGGCCACCGTGCAGAGGATGAAGATGCCCGTGGCTAAGAAGATAGCGGTGGCCTGCCAGAAGCCGCTGGCGATCTCGCCGAAGCTCTCGGCGTAGGGCCCGCACAGCGTCTCCCGCGGGACGTGCTGCACCCCGGGGTTGCGGATGCAGCGCGCGTAGATGCCCAGGGTGGGGTGGTGGGGCCCCGGGGAGCCCTGCTCGGCCGGCTCGGCACTGCCCGCAGTCTTGGCTTTTCCAATCAGCCAGTCGGCGCTCATGAAGGCGATGAGCTCGGCGAACGCCACCACAATACTCAGGAGGGTCCAGAGCATCGAGCGACAGGTGACAATGACATGACACATATTGATGCTCAAGGCGGAGAGAGTCAGGCGTCCACGGGGTTAATAATCACAGCGAGCCCAGCAGGCCGCTGGGGACGCGCTCAGGCGGCCTCGGAAGGACGTGGCCGCCCCGGGCGTTCCCCCCCGCAGCCGCGGGCTCCGTTCTCGCGGCCTCCGGCGGCGCCGTCCCGGGCTGTCATGCTGCCATGTCGTCCCGCGCCGGCCGGCCTCACCTACGGGAGAGGGGGAGGAGGAGGGGGAGGAGGAGGGCGGTGAGCGCAGGCCCCGCCCCGCCGCCGCCCTCCCCGCGCGGCCACCTCCCGCCGCCTGTCCCCCCACCCTCCCGGCCGGGCCCCCTCCGGCCCCACAGAACCTCAGCCTCGCTGCAGCAACCCCTGCTCCCAGCCCCCAGGCCGCCTTCTCAGCCCCGTCGCTGGGCTTTGTTTCAAGTTCTCCCTGACCAGACTCTCGGAACCGTCGGGGGGGGGGGGTGTCACCCTTATCTCCAGGAAGCATGAGCCAGGAAGGAGGCCACTGCCAGGTCCTGCACCCACCGCGGGGCTCCTGCCTCGGCCGGGGCACTCTGGGCACGCGCCGCCTGCTCCACCTTATTTTATCAGAAAGAGTCCAACAGCACAGGGTCCCGGCAGAGCAGGACGTGACTCGGGGAACCGTGTCAGCGGACTGGCTACGTGTTTAAAAGTTACAGGACTCTGCTTTGGTTCTAAATGCGCTAAGTTTTGAGAAACTTGCACCAGAAGCTTTTGCTTAACAGTAGAAAGTAGCAACACCCAATTTTATTGCTGGGGAATCAAATTACTAGCAGAGACGTCAGAGTATTTGCTTCACAGGTAAATGAAAATACAAAAGGAAACAATGCCATTAAAAAATAACAAAACACTGCTATCCATACTTATTTTTCATCCATTTCTCACAGGGTGATTTTTTTAGACAAAATAAACTACACTAATTAAAATTCGAAGAAGAAGAAAAAAAAACTCCAAGAAGAGTTCATGACTTACTCACTGGAGAAATTATTCAAAACAGGCATTAATGGCTGTTGACTAAGTATCATTACACTGAGTGGACTTGTTGACAACAAAACCTTGCCTATGAAGAATGCACGCCTTGAACTGACCCAGGTCATCATCACATGTGCCTCTGCCTGAGCTTCAGTCACCCCAGGTCTGGGACTCAACATGCCCATTGTTTCTGATTGCACAAGGACTCATTCTGTTCCCAAGGACAAATGGCTTCATTTCCAGAGGGCTTTGCTCTAACGGCTCAAACCCCCTTCAGAGGGGCCTGAACCCTGAGACAGGGGCCGCAGTGCTGTGGGCAGCCCCCTTTTCTGCCCCCTCTCCGAGGTCAGGGGGAGTCGAGCAGCTCACATCGGACATCTGGGTGCACGGCCCTGTTCTGAGTGATGGGATCTTATTAACCAAGGTTACCTCAACTCCAGAAGGACCACCAAGAGCCCTCGGGCATGTTGGCAGCGGGGTGGGGCAGGGAGTTACCAAAGAGGGAGGGAAGTGGGGCAGGAAGGAAGCCCAGCGTCACAGCCCCTCCACCAGGTGGCTGACAGCCTGGTGAGAGTTGCCGAGTTACCCCAGAAAACACCGCATTTAAAAATCCTCACATCGTTGCAGCTATACAAGATGCTGTTCTGGGAAATACACTAGGAACACAGCCACTTCCTAACTGTGAGAGAGAGAGAGAGAGAGAGAGAGAGAGAGAGAGAGAGAGAGAGAGAGAGGAAAGGAGGGAGACGGAAAGAG